GCATATGTATGTAGTTCAATGCGTTAAACATGTTATGGAAGAAATAAGCTCATCGTACTAAAAATCAATATCGCAATAGAAGTACAACTCAATAGCCATGATCACCACACTGCAATCTCAATGTGACCACGGCTATAATAAGAAAAAATAACTACCATCGCTGCCATTAGTCCGTAGCAACATAAAAGTGGATATTGTTCAATAGTAAGAAGACATAAATGAGAATACAACCGCCAACTCAAGGCTGGTCGGGACTTCCATCACTTTTTCTAAGAAGTGTTTTCTTTTAGACAACCTCAGTAGCAATTAATATCATTATATAGTAATTATGTACAAAAAAATTAAAATTAGGTTAGAAATGTATTCATATTATAAACATTTACCTTGGCAAAATCTTCCCAATATTCATCGGTGCACGTCACAGCCCCGGTCACTGGGTCCCAGCCCAGTCATGTGTTAATGCGTAGCATCACCTCATGATCAAACTTAACTTTCAAACGGACTTTCATCTGTTGCACTTTCGCAGGGGTCACTTGATCCTTAAAAAAGTCTTGAAGTTCTTTCGCCCAATCCTCCTAGGTTTTAGAATCAGGCTTTCGCCCGTTAGAAGTACGATTGTAGGCAACGAGTCGCATAAGCAACTCCTCTTTTTGCCTTTCTATCCAGTGAGGAGTGGACTCATCGTCGGGTCTCCCTCTTGGCATCTAATATAACACGACACACTACAACGAGTAATGTTTCCATACTTCCAAAAAAATGCCACCAAAGGGTGGAGACACCTTTAGATAGAAAGCGATTCGACGGGTTTCAATAATGGCATGGACGAGGCAAGGGAAAGATCAAGGAGTGCTCAAACTAAGGTACTCGGATTTTGTTTGTGTAGTCACTACCCTTTGTCCGCATTCTAAATGATATGTTTCCTTTTAATAGTAGTTCTTGTTATTGTGAATCCATAGAGCTATCCAAAATTTTATTTAATCCCAGACTAAACACTTTCTTCCTCACATCCCTCAAAGACTCAGTGAAAATAGTGGTTCTAGTCAGTAGTCACTAATCAACCAAAATTGGAGATCCAAGAAATTTAAGGTACAGAATGGGGTAACTGGTTCCTTAAATGTAACAGAAAATATAAATTTAAGGGGGCTGGTACTCATGTCAACTTTTTGTGAAGTCATGCCACATCCTAAATCACCTGTTTTCGAGTAATAGTGGCACTGGTTGCTAATCAACCAAAATTGGTGCTTTAAGAAACTTAGTATGCAGAATGGGGTAATTGGTCCGTAATGTAACAAAAAATGAGTTTTGTGCTATCATCATGGATGTTGATGCTACTGCAGCATTGCACAAGGGGATCGTGGCAACAGATGATAGCTTCAAATTTACTTGGTTCAAGGTTAATGAACATGCATGATGATTATAATTTACACATCTTTTGTTATGTTTATTTCATACGACGATTGGGCACATTGGTCAGAAATGAAAAATGACATCCAAAAAAGGGGACGCCACTCAAAACGACAATCATCACCAGTTGCAAGAAGAAACATCAACAGGCATGTCCATAAGCAATGGAAGCTTAATAATCAGTATGGGAAAGGGCTTACCGTGTTTGATTCGGTAGAGGATAACGGTTGATTTGCTTCGACAACGGCCACACGCGACTGTGATAGACGTCGTTGTGGATAGAGATACCAGCATCGATAACAGAAACCTCTATTCCAAGGAGCACGTCTCGGAGGTCGGAGACGGTGTTTGGCTCTACATCGACTCAAGATCACAGCCAATGGAAGACGCCGGTCCACTCGCGTGGGATCGATTTCTCCCGTGTTGAATTTCTGAGGGAAACGACCGACAACAGAATCACGATTCGTAAAATTCGCGATCTGAGATGGGTTTGAACGGGATACAGCTGCCTGCCCACGACTTTGTTCACTGGGGGTGGGTTATTGACCGTCGGTAATGGAAGAATATGGACGGCTGACAGGAACCCAAGAACGATCATCCGTTGATTTGAGGGGAAACTCAAGGCTTTTTGCAGAGCGGAAGCTTTCTCGTGAGAGAGGAAGCAGACCAATGGGAAGGAAAAAAGACCAACGGGAAGAAAAGGGGATGCAGCTGCCTGCCCACGATTTTGTTCACCGGGGATGGGTATTTGACCGAAGAATATAGATTTTGTTCACCAAGAACAACCCAAGAACGATTGTCGGTTGATTTGAGGGGAAGGCTTTTTACAGAGGGGAAGGCTTTTCGCAGAGCGGAAGCTTTCTCGTGAGAAAGGAAGCAGACCAACGAGAAGAAAAGAATACCAACGGGAAGAAAAATGTCAGAAAAAAGAATCCACACTGTAGATATTAACTCAAGTAGTTGGAGTTAGAGGAAGGGGTGATATTCACCTACTCGAATTATTACTCGAATTTCAAATTCGAGTTTTGGTTTCCGAACGCCTATTTCAGCCCAAAATTTAACTCGAGTTAGGCTTACTCAAGTTTAGTCCATGAAGTGAACGTACCCGAAGATGTCGATGACTGACGCGGTTGTTGAGGTTTTAGTTTACAGATAACGTCAATAAAAATATCAATGTCGACGAATATTTAGAGAAAATTAAGTATCTTGAGCAAGTATGAATTTTTTTCTTTTGAAACTATATAAAATGCTAAAACAGTCAATATTACTTCATTTGAGCTAATTAAGGTGTTGTTTGGTGTAAGGGTTCTGAATCCGAAATCATGATTCTGGTTCAGATTCAGTCTTTGTTTACAAAAAGTAAAAAGCGGTTCTGATTTGACTCACACAGAATCAGTGTTTGGTTATGATGGTTCTGATTCAAGGTTTGAACCATGATGTGATGTTTTAAACCATGAATCACTCATGATTCTAAAACCACCTCCCTTGATTTTGGGCCGTTTAAACCCATTATTCTGATTTCAGAACCATGATTTGGACCCAAAATCATGAATTATAGTTCTGGTTTTAAAATCAAAACTAGAATGACTCTGATTTAAACCTTCATATCAAACGAACCCTAAGTAACCACATGTATTTGAACCGAACCGAGCAAAATTGACTTCAAAAACACATTAAGCAGATAAAGGTCCACTAAAAGGTGAGGAGTTAACATTAGTTCCTTTCCCATGTGAGACTTTTGAACATGTGTTGTTTCAGTTTTGAAACGTCTAGAATATAATAAAATATTTCTGTATATCGAGTTTGACACAATAATAGAGATGGCGTATTAGTAAAGTGTGTTGTGACTTACCCATCGAACAAGGGTTCAAGTCCTTACTGCAGTGTTCGGTTCGGTTATAACCAAACGAACCAAAGTTAAAACCAAAAGCGAACTGTTTCTATATTTACGACTCATATATTTTCTTTAGCGAAAACGAGACGTATATGTATAGATTTTTATCTTTTATTATTGATTAATATCATTTTTAGTCAAATAACTACTATACTAATCAAAAGAGTATTAATAAAAAATAAATGGTAAAATTTCAAACTCATACACTCTAAGGGTAATTGAGAAATTTTTTCTTTTCGTTGTATTTAAAAATTCTAATATAGTTTAAAGAATTAAAAAAAAAAGGTTATCTGTGATTTTGATATGAAAATGTCCTTCATACCTTTTTTCATTTTTTAATTTGTCTAGACTTATGGGAAAAAAAAAACCAAAAACATCATTTGTTGATATTTGGACACAAGGTTAATATTATTATTATTTACTTATATAATGAGAGTTCTAGTGAATAAACAAACGATGTCTAGCCAAAAGCATTTTTATTTCTATATAATTCATGTATAATATAAAATGGTGGATGTAAGAATCCATCGTGTCCTTCAAATCGCACGTTACCTTCTACCACATCGTTGCCTTCTACCACATCATTTTAAATGGAGTTTTACCATTCAATCTTTTGTTTCCCTAATTTTGGACCATTTCAATAAAAATGATGAAAAATGTCATTTTATATCTCAAAAAACCAAAACAGTTCCAAATACCAAGATGATTTAAAAAAATAAATTTATTATTTTGATATTATAAGAAACACAACGCATAATAATAGAGAGCGGATTAAAAAATAAAGAAAGGACTGAGGAATGCGCAAATCAAAAGAAAAAAAAAAGAGTAGATGGGTATGTAAGCCAAAAAATTGTAGAATAATTGACACAGCAGGTCCCTCACACTTTAGTCTCTTTTCTTTTTTTTTTTAATTTTGAAATTTGATTCGGTTAAAATATTATGACAAAAGATTTGTTCATTTACACAACTTAAGTCACAACTCAAGTCATGTACATGTGAAAAAAAAAACACTATAATAAAAAAATTAAATTTAAATTTATGTAAAAAAAAATACTGTAGTAATATGATGAAATGAACAAGGTTAAAATTTTTCAGAAGTAGTTGCAATTCTAAAGTTTCTCGGATTGGAAAAGTTTTCAGGGTCGGTCGTTAGTATAAAGGGGAAAAAGAAATAAATTCCCAAATTGTTGTAGGATCGTACATGTTGAACGAAATTGTGTTGACTATAGACCTAAATATCTCATTCTGATGTAGGATCAAGCTTTTTCAAATTTTAATGATACGAACTAGTAAATATATTGCTTGACTGATCCAATGCCCAAAACAGACAATCATTAAATAATTGATGATTCTTCAGCTCTCTCTCTCTCACTTATATCAATACACAATTGTAGAACTTGTTATTTTTTCATCACATGCTCTCAGAATAAGTTAATATATTGGGCAAATAAAGCCCATCACCAGAGACATCATGAAGGCATGAACTTTAAAAAGACGATGAGAATTAACAAAAGAAATTAGAAGATAATTCCACATTGAGAATGCCATAGACAAATCCAAGATTAAGCCATTACAAAATTCCAATATGTATATGGTAAAAGCTTTCCTAGGAAGTCAGCTATGATGACGACTCAGTTCCTCAACCAAGAAGAGGTCAGTTAAATGGCATTAAACAAAAAAAGTGTGACAAAACTATGCTTCTTTTCAATGTACACCTATACCTCCACCCACCTAATAACCATCCGAGATTTCCTGTCTCTATATGTATGTTCCTAATAAAAGTATAAAGCCATAATTATCTGCAGTGTCAAAAAAGCAAATGAAACTATGTCCGCGAAAACCTACCGACATTGCCTTAACAAAAGAACATGGTATCCTTTATTTTCTCATGCAACTTAGGGAGCTCTGGAACAGGAATAATCCCCGATGAAGTCATGCCTCTCTGTCCTGAAGAAGTTTCTGATAAATCCTCAAACTTCATAAATTGCCCCACTTGGTACGCAGCGAGGTGAGCATAGCATATTGGAGCAACTGGAAAATGATATTGAAATTTAGCAACAGTGATAGACAACAGGTATTAATTCTTTATCCTCAGATACAAGAAACTGAACAGTTAACCAAAATTACCTATTGAAGTTGCAGTTGTGCTCCTTTGATACCTGCAATTAGTTAAAAACAAAATAAAATAAAAGACACACACATAAACACAAACAGATGAGTGTTAACCGAAAACTCATTGTATCGAGTTGCATGGAAAGATGATGGAAATGAAAGCTTACACGTATGATAGGGAGTGGATTAGGTTTTGCAAGTCGTCAGGAGAGAAACCAATCTCATCAAGTAAGACATGATAGTGTGCTGGTCTAGAAGTTCCCTGTCATTTGTAGGAGCCAAGAAAAATATTTACACTAAAAGGAAAAGCGGAATAAAAATTGAAGTTAGAAAATTGTTATATCTGGACATGTAATAACAAAGAATTCAATCCCACATACTTGACGGGAATATCAGTCACAATTAGGTAGACAGAACTTGGTTTATTCAGCGTCGTGAATTAATTCTCCAGACTAAAGATAATCTCAGTCTCGTGCTAGCTATTGAGTATTTAGCGGTCAACACGCTAAGAGATCTTCAAGGTAATCTGAGTGCTACTTGTGGAATACTTGTACAAGCTTAAAATGAAAAATAAAAAAATAATAATAATACAAGAAAAAAGAAGACTACTTACAATCATCCCCGCATGAGAGCACAAATAGAAATCATAATTCCTTGGGTGAACAATTTTTGTGTCCACGATAGTCCCTGAGAGAGAGTCGAGAAAAACTACTTAGTTACTGCTTGATTTAGAGAAATAGAAAAGTACTGCTTGGCTCAGAGATATTGTTAGGAACCTGATTCTCACAGCTCAATATTCACACAAAAGAACAAGAATAGAAGACAATCAAAGTAGTTTTATTGATCATCACCAACACTAGCTCATAGAATTTTACAACCAAACTAAGAAAAACGTAAAGAAAGCTTAGGATAGACTGGAGTATTCGAGGACTCCGGAGAACTCCTAACTTTGATGGTATTCGAGAGACCACCAGCTCTCCCTAATCTCAGTCTCCCAAAACTCTCAAAATCACAGCCTACCCTAGTGAGCTACTAAGCCTTTTATTTATATTAATTCCTACTAACTCTACTAGCTCACTAACCAAACAAGTTCCCAAGTCATTAACGGATCCTAACATATATAATATATCAATTAAAGCGGCATACCTGGTGGAACATTATTCGAATTACCAGCTTGGAACAGCTTCATGTGATGATTCTTTTGAGCCACAATTACAGTAAACTTGGGAATGTTAACCTCTCCCAGATGCTGATAAGCCTGTAGTAACAGTTGAGTACTCAATGTTCAACGTTGAGAACCAAACAAAAAGAAAAAAAGACTCATTGCAGAAACATATTTGCTCGTAATTGGGTGGTAAGCAAAGCATTAACATTGCCAGGACATTCAAGAACTTAATAATAATGTAGTGTTAGCTAGAAACGATAAATAATCCAAGACTCATTGCAGCCTATCAAAAGGATGACTACAATGAGAAAGCTCCAGTAATTTATATCCTGAATTTGTGATAACTCAATCCAAAATGAGTACTATAGCACACAAAGTCAATGATGGTCCTCCAATAACAGAATTGACTCTAAACCTTTATGATTTGATCCAGCTCTATGTTCAAGACTTGATTAAATTGTGATTCGCTCACTCCATCCCTGAAAAGAAATTATAAATGCTGATTTTAGCAATAACCAGATGTGTGGAATGCCGAAAAAGTGTGAGAAGAAAAGGTGGGTCATTTAGTTTTTTCTTGAAAGTTAAAACTTGTGACACGCCAACATGAGAAAGAAATACTTCTTCAAAGCTTCATAATTAACAAGATTTAAAAACGCTAAAAAGCTAATTAAATTGAACTAATATTAACTTCAGCGTACTAAAGCATATATCCAAGAATTTATCGGTATATGCTGTACTACTACTACAAATGACATTAGACAAGTCAAACCTACAAACATGCAATTACATCCTTGGAAAGAATGATGTGCACCAAGAAGCACCTAGATCATTGCTTCATCTCAAATTACAAGCATGACATATTTGACAAGTTATTATACAAACCACTAGTTACCAAGAAAATATATGTCCTAAGTAAAGAAGTGCTATATGCAAATACAAGGGTTAGGGAGAGGGAAAGAAAACGAGCCAAGTAGCACATAAGGAGAGGACCAAGATTTACGATCTATATCTGTAAATTTCCTCAAAACAAAGCAGTGAACAGCTAAGGATAAATATTAACATAAAGGCCGTGTTTTTCTAACAAATTTGAATATACCTACCAGCAATTAAACAAAGAATATGACTGAAAATCACCAACGGGTCTTGAGACAAACACACGCAGCCAAACACAAAACAGGTCAGATACAATGTTTTGATACCTGAACACAATAATCTGAGTTGGTTTGCGCCCATTGCTTGTTCTATAGAAGTCCACAAGCAGCTCACTGAAACCCAAGGTTCATCAAAGTCTTAAGCAGGTCTATGAAATTGACAGATCCAAATAAATGAAATCTAGTAATTAACAAACCAAAGTATTAAATCCAGGAAATTTGAGAGAGAAGCCCTTCTATTTTTCAAAAATAAAAAAAAATAAAAAATAATATCTAAACTACTGTTGCCATCACATTTGCTCATTGTTGGAAAGCATCCAGGATGTCTGATATTATTAATATATAAGAGATTTAAAAACAATTAAACATAATTCCAAATATATCACAACACTAGTAACCACTGGATCTCGTGCGACGCATTTCCTGCATTGATACCTGATGATACCATCATCTTCTCCATTTGCCAATGGCTTGTACAGAGCATCAATCATCTCCACTTTAGGTGACTGCGTTCTTACTGATGCTCCATACTTTGAAATATATGGCCAATATCTAGAGCCGACAACCTGAAAGTGGCAACAAGATGACTACTATTATTGGACATCAATTAAAAAGATTGATAAATAACTTGAAAAAAGAAATATATGTAATATACCGCAGCTATGGAAGGAATATCAGAACAACCCGGAGACCCATGAGAGACGTCCATTCCCAAAATCATTGTAGGAGTGTCTTTTATTACAGGGACACATGAAGGTTGCTCAATTGCCAATATAGAGTTCATCCCTCCAAGCTACAAAGGAAAATAGGCAAAAGGAACTAGCTCTTAATAAATTAAATAAGGATATGATATAGAAGAAATTAAACTGTAGATTTCTTACCTTGACATTAATTTTAAGGAGCACGTTGGTTAAGTACTGATCGTTAACCTTAAACGGAGAAATGCATTGGGTAACAATGCCAAACTCACCAGTCAAACATTTTTTCTTCCAAGGACCTAGACTCAACGACAAAAGAATAGTGAAAAACGTAACTGACATAGTAAAAAACGGGATCGTAGAATATTGCAACACCATACCATAGATGTCAGAGTTTTTTCTCTCCGACAAGACACAAAGGATAAAGTTAGGTGGGCCTGGAAGCTTGTCTCTGATCCGTTCAAACATCTTCTCAACTCTAGCAATGGGGGGCGCTCTTCTAGATTGTGGATCTTCATCAATCAATGTATATGGGCCATCAATTTGCTGCAACATGGATAAGTCAGTGTGTGTAAAGAGTTTAGAACTAACATGGTTCAGAAACAATAGAGTCAACACGTCTAACATACAATGCCTTTTTTCCTTCCACAGCTGATGAGATCCCTTGAAATTTGACTCAGATCACAGCGTGCAGAGAAGTTAACAACAACCCAACGGCTAATGTGACGAGGATCCAAAACTGTCTGAAGGAAAAAAAAATGACGAGGAGCGTCATAAAAAAGGAGGGAAAAGTAACTAGTAGATCATCATCTTTATCTTTATTGACATCAAAAGTGTTGAAGCATGGCTCAGAACTCAAAAAAGAGAGAAAGGGAGAGAGAGAGAACATGGAAACAATAAAGGCATACCTTATTATTAAAGTTCCATTTCCCGTTATTTGGGGCAAATTCACCATCGTTTCCAAATTTCAACTGTATTTAATAGGAGAGAAACATGTTAGCAACAAAGGAAAGTCATAGTCAATCTGAGTGAAAAAAACACACTTGACATTGGTTCTTCCCTCCCTCCAAACGTGCAAATTAATTCACACTCGCATACACATTTCAAATTTGCATTCAGTTTAGCAACTTCCCCCCTCCAGACAATACATGCACATGCGTAGAAGCACACACATACCTAAGTTTTTTGTTTACCTTTGGGGACTCCAGGATGCGGCCATCAAATTGAGTAAATTGCTTCTCTATGGAGATACCACATTCAGCCAGCAAAGGGTCTTTATCATAGCGGTAATTTCTTACTGCCTGAAATAACAAGTCAGCAAGAAAATTATGGCACCGTTTAGAGAAAAGATATATTTCGTTTAGGTAAAAATGAAAAACTTACATCAACCAAAATCTTTGTTTTTTCGTGAGGCTTTTGCCTTGACTTTTCAACCAGAGATGCCCTCTGGTTTGAGGATAATGCTTTTGTATACCGTTGAAGAGAAACAAGTGAACAGAGCTAAAACACCATTAAAAGAGAAAGAGGAAATCAGAACTTTTATGGTGGAAAAAGAAATCAGGAACTTTTAATTGAAAGAATGCTCTCATCAAACCAAAATAGTCAATCTAATAAGCATGAGAAATTTGCGTACCTCAAGAGGTAAATAATTGGGTTTTTTTGGCCTTCCAACAACAAGGCATGGCAGGTATGCAGACTCAGTTAGTTCAATGCCACAGTGTTTAGTAAAGTAATCATACACAGTTATATCTGCAGTCTGCTCTTCATTCGTGGCGTCACCATTTTTCACTTTCATTGGAAAACTGTGAGAAAAGATGTAAGACGTAAAGTTAGAAGCTTCCTAGATTGAAAAAAAAAACAGAGGGGGGGGGGGGGGGGGGGGTTTTTTGGGGGGGGGGGTTGGAGAGAAAAATGGTATAACAGCATTTTTCAAAAGATAAGCACATACAATAGCTGATTGCAGGGCTTCTCACTCAAGCCCAAGATTTTAAATTCCATGTTTCGGTGTCTGGTTTTAATCCTCATATTTTTCAGCATTTTCTTTGCCTGTAATTGAAACAAATCAGACAAATAAATGGTGAAACCTAGGCACACACTGTTTGAAAATTTATTTACCTTCACCCAGTCAATTTGCCGGATTTCTCGTACACCCTGGTTAGCTTTCAAAAACTCAGTCACAGGTCCAGGTTTTAAAATCATTGTTGTAGAGACGTCTAGACAGAGTGGCGAGGCAGCAATGTCAATAAGCAAGCAACAGGAACACATTGTTTTAATTTAAACTACTAGTCTAAGACACTGCAACAAAAAGTTATTACCCGTATTAAGAGAAAGGCCATCCTGTGTTGGGCGGAAGCTAGCATGGAACCCCCTCACACCAATTACACCTCCTCCAACATCAGCGAAGTTCTGAGAGTCATCATGAAAGAATGACTGCCTTACCAATAGGCATCCCCTGTAAAATTCTCACCGTTAAAGCCTTTTTTTTTTTTTTAATCAAATTAAGGAATGTTAAGCTCCCAGCATTTTGGATATGGCCGTGACAGTATGATTAATAAACAAACTAGAAAAAGAATGGGAAGGGAGAGGAGAATGTGATACCTGTTAGCCGCCTGCTGCCTCAGAATAATATCAAGCACTCTCAATGCATCCTGAGTACTATTATCTGCATCAGCTCCTTTAAGAGCAAGGGCAATGGATTTCACGGGTATTTTGGCAGCATAACTCAATTGTATCTTGAAAGTCTTTGAGTTAAAAGAACGCTTGGACCGTTTACCACTCTCATTGGGGCTCCCAGTAAAACCAGGACTTCCATTTTCACTATCACATGGAGAAGAAATCCAATGTCAGCCGAGAAAAAAATGTAAATGTATATATATATATATATATATATTTATGGAAAAAAGAATAGCAGATATACTTCTTTGCAAATGATTCCTCCAGAACAACCGTGAACTCAAACTTCTTCTGTGGCAGAGGACCCACAGTATACAGACTTTTTTCTCCATCGTATGCAAAACTTTTACCAGAAAATTCTAAAGAGTATGTTTGGTATAGCCTATCAATAAGTTTTCTCCCAATTCCCTTGACGTTGACATCTTTGTTATCTTCTAAAGTGATGGAAACCTGTAAGAAGTATAACATAAAAAAATTAGAATGAAACTCAACAGCTCAACCAGTATCAGAGGTTGACAAAAAGATACAATTATTGAAAACACACACTATACTGGTAAAATACGGCATCTGGAACATTAACAGAAACTTTGAAGTGGTTTGCAACCAAAGGTATGCGCCTCCCAGCACGCCCAGTTCCTCTTCTACTCATAATGGAATACTTAGGAGAGGGTGGTACCACCGGAAGTGGCAGAGGTGGAGGTAAGGGTTGGTCGCCAGACGCTTCCTTAGCAGTTTCAGTTTGTTCCATCCTGTAGCCAAACCAAAATGACCAACAACTCTCTGATTATGGGAAAAATGCATAGCAATTAGTTGCATACAAAGTGTTTATCAGATTTTTAGAGAAAACATTGAGAAGCACATACAAAGTAAAGCCTCGTTCATTTCACGGATTCGAGTTTTCAATTTCAATTTTGCTATAGTTAAAAGCTCTCACAAAAAGTCACATCTAATTTTTTCTGCTACAGTCAAAAGTTCTCACATAAAATCACATCTCAGCTTAAATTAAAAACTCGAATCAACGAACTGAATGAGGCCTAACTTGTTGAGTGCCAAAAGCAAAAGAAGTAAATAAAGAAATTAAAAGTAGTTAAGATATTCCTCGATGTCAAAATAATTAAAAAAAATGATAAATTCATTCAATAAAGCATAGTAGGTTTATGCACGGCACATAGATTACCTTAATCTTGAAAGAAGATATTTGAGCTTCTCTTTTAAGGTAAAATGCAATTAGCTATAGCAACCCAAAATCAGTAACAAATAGGTAAATGGGCAAGAACGTCTTCCAAACACTATAACTATGATTTGTGTGTGTGTGTGTACATATAGGTATAGAATGTAGTAAACAGATAAATAAATACTAAACGCACATATTCAAACAGAAAAAGAACGAGCATTCAAAATGATAATCATCAAAATAAAAGTGAATACACAAATTCAAACAGAAGGTAAACAGGGTTTTAAATGAGAATCATCCAAATATACATTTAAAAGAACAAAAATAAATAAAATAAAAACAGGGATAACACTAAAAGCGCAAATTTTCAACACTATGTGAACCGATCAATGATAATCATCCAAATAAAAAGTAGAATAAACACAGATAATATTTAGAACACAAATTCAAACAGAAAATAAGCAAGGGTTTTAATTGAGAATCATCCAAATATATACTTTAAAAAATAAAATAAAAACAGGGATAAAACTAAAAGCGCAAATCCAAACACAATGTGAACAAATAAACAACATTAACCACTAGTCTACTACCACATCCTTCGGTGGAAGAAATGAGGGACATAGAAAGAGAAATCAAGCCAAAATCCCAAAGTCGTAGATGCAAAGAGAATACAGCTGAGCGAATAAAACACAGAAAGCACAATGTCCGCGTGCGAGTTTTGTGCAGATATTTTTGAATAAACTGGAATCACATAGTTCGAAAAAACCAAGTGATTGAGAGATATTATGGCATATGAAGGAAAGATACCAGAGACCAACAAATAAATAAACACACAGGAGAAAAAAAAAAGAAAAAGAAGCAAATGATGACGAACACAAGCTAGAAGAAGGACCAAAAAACAAAAAAAGTAGAACATAGAAACGAGAAACAACTAAACATTCACCAAAAAAAAAATGTAACAAAATACATGACAATGAAAGAGCGAGGAGCACAAAAATCCGAACCCAAATGCTGCGGTTTAAGAGCAAAATCAAGACTAAAAAAACGCAAAATAAATCGGTAAAAGGAAAAAGAAAGAGAAAATCTCTAAGAACAACGAGCATGCAAGAACAGGATCACTGGAAAAAGAGCAAGAAATTAACGCGCATTGATTGAAATTGCGGTACCTTACCCTGAGAAATTTGGGAACGAGCTTTTGGTTAGGGTTTTCGGAGAGAGAAACTGAAGAAAGAGAGACAGAGAAGAAGAAGAAGAAGAAGAAGAAGAGAGACGCTTGGGTTTCTCTCTCTCTATTTGCCTCGCCTGGACTCCTTTGAGAGAGAGAGAGAGAGAGAGCTTGGAGGGAAAGGAAATCTCCTCTACAAACGAAAAAAATGTATTTTTATTTATTTTTTTTATATTTATATTGAATTTTTTTTGAAATGGTATTTTGAATTTTAGAGGATGTTTAGTTTATGTATTTAGAATCATAATTTAGAATTATTTTTATTTTATGTGTATTTTTTATGAGAAAAAATACTGTAAAGAATCATTAATCATGATTCAAAATCAGTGACGAATATAAGAAATAAACATTATTAAAAATATACATATTTATAATAAACACCGTAGCTGAAAGCTTTGCTAAGGACCTAACGTACATTCAAGTATACGATTCCATTTGGTCGTCAATATGTTTCGACGATGTTCTGCTCATTTAGTAATGTATTTGTGTCATAATTTAAATAATAATTTTGATTTATTATAATATTTGTCTCATAAAAAATACATATAAATCAAAAATAATTCTAAATTATAATTTTAAATTCATGAACTAAACGTCTAATAATCAGTCCGAAGCAGAAAATCTTTCTCCGCCTGGAATCCCAATTGCTTGTAGGGGCATTTTTGGTCATTTGAATGTCATAGGCGTATGGCTTCATTAGGCAAACGAGCATGCTGGAGATTCAGAGCAAAAGTTCCATTTTACGGTTACTGTCATAAGAAATTGTCCACTGTAGTGAGGTCTACTAAACTCCAGTGCAACTCCTAATCACCATCCTCCATCCTCTTATGCTAGAGTGATGCTCTGATTTTGAAGGTTGTGATTTAATATTGTTTAATCAGGGAAGCAAACAGTACATTTCCATAATCCTTTCTGTGTATATATCACTGTAAAAATGGGCAAATTATCTTTACCCGAACACTTTCCTTTATTTTTGGCAAAACTTGGGGTAGGAAAGGCTTTTTCTACCCTACCAATAGTTAGCTTTTTAACCGCGTATTAATTTTTTAACTGTGAGATCTTCGACTAAAACTATTTTTACGTCGCGTGCCTCAAATTTTAACATGAATACTCTTAAATTTGATCATTAAAAAGTTAATCCAACTGAAAACAATAATACCTTCTAATAAGATAAAAAGTCTTCTTATGTCTTATTTTTTACTTATTTTTTGTTTGTTGAATTACTTCCACTCTTTTATCTTAAATTTCTTTTTTAAGTCTTATTTAGTTCGTCAATTCGAGATTTTAATTTAAACTGAGATATAACTTTATATGAGAGCTTTTAATTGTAAAAAAAAAAAAGTTATATGTGACTTTTTGTAAGAGCTTTTAACTGTAACAAAACTGAAATTGAAAACTCGAAGAAGCGAACTGAACGAGGATTTAGTTTCCTGCTAGCATTATGATATTTTTGGGTTGTACATTAAGAGCAACTCCAACTATGCTAGTCATTTCAAGTTTTTAGCAAAAATAGCTAATGATTTAGCTTTTTTTTTTTTTAACTTTTCTCCACTCCAACAATTAGCTAAATGGTTAGTTATTTTAGATAATGTCTTCCAAACTAGCTAAATATAGCTAGCATAGGGTGACTAGTCATTTCATTTTTTATATTATTTTATTATTTCAATAATAATAAATGTAAAAATTCTTTCATAAATTCAATAAATTCATTTATATTTTAAATTCAATAAACATTAAAATAATTTATATTTAGTTAAAATAGAGAGTATGGTTGGAGTGATCTACTAAAAAATTACTAGCTTAAATAACATACCAGCTATTTTAGCTAGAATTTAGCTAAAATTTAGAGAAGTCCATTAAAGATGCTTTAAAGGGAGACTTTAGTGAACTCTCGCTAATTTAAGAAATAAAAGATGTGTTTACCAAACCACAAAAAAAAGTATAATTAGAAAGTTAATAGAATTTGAAATAAACGTAATGGCAAAAGAAATAAATAGTAATATTATCAATTATAATTACTAAAAGTTCCTTTTACACAATTAAATATTTATTAACTTTAATAGTAATTTATTAAGAGTAAATAAATAAATACATAAACAGATTTTGATTTTTTTTTATAGAAATGGTATATGAATAGAATTTATGTATAGAATTAGAACGACATGTAATTTGTAAATATAAAACATAGAATTACAATTAAATGTATCGTCTAAGTTCTAATTAAAATCATGCATGTGTAAAAAAAAATTAAAAATAATCACATTTAACTTTTTTATTACAATAAAAAACTCTCACATTATTCGAGTTAAGCAAGTCCTAAATGAGATGACTCTCACATAATATGAATACGCTTGTGATAAGGGTATAATAAGCAAATCCAGAGAGCCCACAATTAAAACCGGCTCCACCAGCTAGGAGGATGACCCATCATTTTTTCCTTCTATTGGCAGAAACATGGCCAAGGACGATTGAAAATGAGATAACGAAGATTTTTTTTTTTTTTTGTTTATAATTAGAAATAAAGAAGAAATTATCAAACTAAATGTGTTTCTATTGCCAGACATTAAAGCAGGGGGGGCCTTAAAACAATACCAATAAGGCCTTGCATTGAGATCATAAATATACAATAATCCTGGTAACTCGAATCATATACAAGAGAACACCGAGGGCAACATATCAGCCTTTTATTCAATGCATACTAAAACACGCAATGATCGATTACCACTGAAATTGGAGGTCAGATTATAATGCCAAAATATATCTTTTAACCTGACCATCCTCTCTGTGGAGCACCAGAAGAGTGCACATTCAGTCTGTCAAGCACACCATTGAAATCAATGGGTTGGCCACTCTCTTCCATCCTCTGAATCACGCTCACAATGTGGTCACCCCTGAAGCCCATGCTTGCCAATTTCTCGATCAACTCGGCATAGGGATGGTTTCGCATGAACTGTGGGTTCCGGACCATAACATTCGGGGCCACGTTGGGCAGCTGATTAGGAAGAGAAGCGCTCGTGGGAGGATATCCGCCTTGAGCAAAGTGCGGCACTTGAGGTGGATAATGGGCTCTCCCTCCGTCACTATCGTACATCATGTATGTGCTCCCCGGAGGAAATGCAGGGTGGGGTCCTGAGGCTGCATAGCCATCCCCTGGCTGCGCTGCATAAGCGCCCTTCATTTGCTGAGGTGGGAGCTGCTGTGGAGCTGCTCTGCCAGGTGCAGTATATCCAAAAGGCACAGCGTCACCAAGACTGGTTCCAGCCTGAGGAATTCCTGAATAAGGTACCTGCATCGGCATGCTGTTCGGCAATGTCTCTGGAGGTGGAGGTGGGTTTGTCGGCTGACTTGGTGCGTAGGAAGGATAGACAGGTGATGGGGGCCGAACTGAGGGTTGTTGTGGCAATTGTACTTGCTGAGGCAACTGTTGAGAAAGTTGCTGCTGATACTGAGGGAATTGTTGGACTGGTGGTGTCTGATTAACTTGAGACTGTGTTGGTTGCGGTGCTACTCTAGGGATGTCTTGCAGCTGGGGCGTCCGGTACTGAGGATCGGATGCCACATATTGTCTATGTGGATGTTGTGCTGGAGCTGGTGGGTTTGGCAACTGAGGTGCAGGTAAGTAATATGGTGGTTGTTGACTCACGTTCTGGGGTGGGGGCTGCACGGGAGGTGCCACAGGTTGTTGTGATGGTGCTACTTGATGAGGCAGGGCAAGAGCCAGTTGCTGGTTATGAGTATCAGATGTGTTGTCATTCTTTTTGGAATCGGAAGTGGGCGGTGATGCCCTGTCTTCAGTGGACTGGTGGCTTGATGAAGAAGACTCTTTCTGCACAAGCTGAAGTTTGGCCAATTCTTTTTGAGTATCAGCAAGTTCCTGCTTGTCTCTAAGGATTTGAATAGACCTGTGGACCTAAAAAAAAAAAAAAAGAATCAAGTTCATCTGCTGCATCAAGTTGAGGAAGATACATGCATAAAAATCAACGGGAGAAAGTCCAACAAAAGCATGCTTAGACCTACTCATCCTAGAACTATCCAGCATTTAGTTACAATAGACAGAAGACATCACTCGTAGTTCATTTAAACTAATCCCGGCAAATTTGCATCCATGCACAACAAGAAGAGATAATTATCATTAAACTATTAAACGAGAATATCTCAAACAACTTAATATTTAGGTTTCATTTACGATTTATCTCATGTTAGACTCGGAATAGGCAACGTACCAATGTAAATGATTAAACACAACAATACCATGTGTGCTTCTCTCATTTTCTGTATGTGAATATGTCCTGACCAACCATTTCTCGCGTAATGAGTTAACAAACTGGTTTAACAGTTTCCTGTGGTACTAAAACTCTACGTTATATCAAGCTACGCGTAAATGTGATAAATGAAGTTCCTATCCACTTTTCTGCATGTGGTTATTCGTTTAGATGTCATACTTCCTGTTCCTGGACACCAAAACCCAACACTACAGGAAGAGTAATTCCATCAAAAGGAAACCCCCTTACATCCCAGATCAATACATCAGGATCAAATGTCAATGCCAACACAATGCTCATAAAATTGGAATAATGGAGAAGTAACTCTAAATAAGATATTCTTTCAAGCACATGAGTCAGAGTTACAACTCACTTCTTGAAGATGTTTATCAATAGCCTTCAGCTTTGAATCTGCCTCTCCATGATCACGAATCAAATCAGATCGCATTTCTCCAATGGATTTATCAAGATTATAGCAATATAATTCCAACTGTGAAAGCCTTGAACTAATTCCTTCAAGGAAGCGCATGAGGTTGTCAGCATTTCTTTTCATGCTTTTTTCCACAGCAGAAATCACATCTTGGTTAAAAGAATCTTCGGGCTGGGTATAAGCAGCACCAGTAAACACTGATCTTCCCCTTCGAGTGTTATGGAAATCCTGACATATAAAGAAACATCATCTGGTTAGCAAGTGGCAAATTAGATGCATGCATCGAACAAACACAGTTGAAGTAGAACAAGTCAACGGCACTATCTGTGATTTATTATACAATTTTAAATCTAAAAGTAATGACAATGTGCATTCCAGAGAAGAAAAGATGGATCATATTAAACTTCTACAGACACAAAGGACAAAAAAAGAAACACTAAACTTAGGATATAGCGTCAGTGTAGTTTAGATATCCCACGACACAAAAACTGTTTCAGAAAGCATAATAATTTTCCATGGGAAGACTTTCCGAATTTCAAAGAACTCAGTACTAATGTCTAAGCTCCAATAAGGCAGTTACACTTGGTTTGGTAGGAAGGAAAGGGGAAAAGTGAATAGAAGTGTCATTGAGGATAAAAAATATAAAACATAAATTATTGGGGAAAAATAACATTCTGAGAAGGAATCGAAACAAGTGATTTCCCCATTTTCCTATCCTTTCTTTATAAAAGACAATTGACCATGTTATCTGCTCATTTATATTATGTTAGTTTCACATGTCGCTTCTAAGCAATGACAAATTCTACCTCCTACAATCTATCCAAATAATTAAACATGGTAGGACCCATGGTACTTTTGTCTTCTTCTTTTGCTGTTCTCTCTTATAAAACAACCAGTTTATCCATTTTCCACTCTTTTATATTCTTGCAATTTTCACTTCATCCAAGCAAAGCATTAGAAAGTAACTAAAAACTGCATGAATCCGACAATGTTTCATTTACGGTCATAATTGTTCCAGCTTCAGGGATCCCAGTGATGTAGTCCTCCAAGGCCTAGCTGCTTATCAGTTTTCTTTCATGCAACTTGTATTATGGAAAAAAAGAGATTCAAGCAACCACACTCGTAGCTTAGGATCCTTAAACGGAAAGAGAGAAAATATAAATATATATATATATATATATATATATATCTATTCCAACCTATACTGGGTAAAGAAACAAGATCAACGACTACTACTAGACCCCTTTAACCTCCAATTCAGTTGAATAAACGAATTTTGAATCACAACATTCAAGCATCTAAACACTCCATAATCTAATCTCAAAATCCCAAAATTGCAACGAATCCACTAAGGAAATTAACTTGAGAATTAGTTTGTTATCTTAAAGATTATACTTCATATGAAAGGTCTACCAGAATGTCCGATGGAAATGATATAAAATCTCCGATTATACCCATGATCCAAAACCCTATAAATCTCGTTCCATAAAATTACAACTCAATTAGCAAATCCCTAGGGTTTGAAGCAGTACACGGTACCTTTCCCGAACTAGAACTGATCACCGGTTCGCTGTGGCCACCATTGGGCGAGTCCTGGTTTCCATAGTCCTCGTAAGAGCAGAGAATATCGTCAGAAGCGAAATCGAATCCCTTTGACCCCGAGTTGGCCCGACCCGACGATCCAGACGCCATAGTTGCAGAGATCAGAAACTCAGATTCTGTTCAAGATTAGGGTTTCAGAGAGAGAAAATCAAAGGAAGCGATGAAGAGAGAGAAAGATAGAAAGAGAGAGATGTTAAGTCTGACTATGCGTGCAAAACAGCAAAAGGGAAGTTTCGTGATAATAAAGGGGAATTTGGGAGCTGAGAAGAAAAGAAAAGTATTAAAAGAGGGTATAAAGAAATATGGAAAATATGAGGGATTTTGTTGGAGTTCAAGGTCAGAAAGATAAGGATGAGTACAACCGACCTCTGCCTTTTGCAGATATTTTATTGTGGATTTTAAAATAAGCTGTTGGGTAATCGGCGTTGCGTTTTGTTGGCAATCATTGAAAATTATATTCATCATCTTTTTGCCATTTTTCTTTTTTCTTTTTGGCTTTGCATGAAATGTGTTGGCAATTATTGGGTTATATATATATAAATATATAAATTTTTTTTTTGCTCCAACATAATATATATTATCTCAAAAGAATCGTATTTTTTGACACTTAAACCAATTAAAAAAAATCGTAGCAATTACTGTTTAGAAAATCTCTACTTGTGAAATGGTATTTGTTAGGGGGAAAATGTGGAGGACACGTGGAGGGAGGATCATATGGCACGTGGTCTTAATTTATCCTCGTAAAGCAACAACACTCGACGTTTAGGACTCCCTTCCATTCCGTCGTTAAGAGCCCGAGTAAGAAGCCCAACTTAGGGCGTCGATTTCATCTGGCGTCGACAGGTCGTACCGTCGACCTTACAACATAGAAATCCCCCGTCATAAAATCCACCGCCAAGAAGAATAATTGGGCTAAACAACACTGGCGACGAGGGGAATGCTCCTTGGGGGAAAGCCTAACGTGGCAAGTTGCGTATAGTAATGAGGGATGTCTGCAGTACAGGCATTAAATGCAAACCCTTAAACCGCCCCTACGGGGGACAGAAAAGGGTTACAGCTGTGCACAGAGCCGTAATGGGAGACTAATTGGCTGAGTGAACAGTGCGCAACAAGTGATTAGTGGGCTACGAGTTGGGCCTAGAACATACGGAAGGGAGGTTGATCTTTCCTGAGAAAAAAGAACGAGAGAGCAATTTGCAAATTGTAACAATCTCAAAAGGAATAAAAAACCACAATGGATGTAGCTCTTCATTTTATAAGAGTGAATCACTATAAATCTTGTGTGTTTTTCTGCTTTAAGTATTTTTTCCTATATTGCTCACTACACAAAAAATACCACAAGCACTTCACTGCCTATATTAAGTATACAGTCAATATTAAGCCGATAATCCAACGGGATACCTAGAGGTAAACCGGCCCGTTTTTGTTGACGAAAATTCACCGTCAACAATTGGCGACTCCACTGGGGACCGAACGCGTTGGACCCCCAACAACAACAACATAGTCAGCAAGCATGCCTCCGAGAAGAAGAACTGAGGCCACCAACCAAGGCAGCCATATGGACGAGACCGCCACTCATCCAATGAATGACAGGGTGGAAGAAGATCCACCCCCGGTCAGAAACGAGGTCCCGCCCCTAGACGTCTCGCGGCCGTATCCTGTGCAGATGCAGGCCCAACTAGCCACTCTAACCAATCTGGTACGTGGACTAATGGTTGTGGTCGAACGCTTGGATGGAAGAAACTCTATGCCACCCTTAGAAGACGCCCCGAGGCCGCTGGGACCTGCCGTGGCTGAAAACCCCAACCCCGGTGACCGCCCTCATGTCTTAGAAGAAATCAGGGATAGTGAGAATCACAGGGGCCAGCCTAGGCCCCGACCTTCCCACTCCCGGACTCTGGGCTCCCGAGGACCAAATACCAAGAGGCCCGAGAAACCCCGAGGTACTACCCCAGAACCCAGGGAGAAACCCACCGGGAGACTCAGGGTCAGTACAGGCGGGCGGGCAGGCAAGGGATGGACCCAACGGTCAAAGGGCAAAGGCGTCGAGAGTAGCTGGCTCGGCCATCTCAACAGAGGAAGCACGCGCCATCATGGAACGTATGGCCAGCCTGGAGCAAAAACTCACGAGGGACGTAGCAGGCCTAAAAAAGAACATAGGGCGGGTGGCTAAGGTGGTAAACGTCGACATCACATCTAGCCACACACATGACCACCCATTTACCGAAGAGATAATGGCGTCACCTCTCCCCGACAAATACAAGTCACCGTCGATCCCACCATATGATGGTCGAGGGGATCCCGACGATCAGTTAGAAATGTACACGGGGCACTTGCTCTTACACGGGTATGCCGAGGAAATTATGTGCCGAGCCTTCCGGAACCATTTAACGGATTCTACCCGAAGATGGTTTCGGACGTTGAGGCCAAATTCTATCTCAAGCTGGGATGAGTTGAAGGAAGCATTTTCCCTCTAATTCATAGGGGTTAAAAAATATGTCCCCCCGAAGCAGAACCTGACGACGATATACCAAAAGCTGAACGAGTCATTGAGAGAATGGCTTGCAAGATATGGGGAAGCTGTCGCCGCCACGATGGATATAACTGACAGAGAGGCCTTGATGGGGGCATTATCTAGCATCAAGAAAATTACACCATTCAAGAGAGAGCTGAACCGAAAGCCCCCGTCCAGCTACAAGGAATTATTTACGCGAGCACAGGGATACATCAACGCCGAAGAGGCGGACGCAAACGACCTCGAGCATAGGTCCAACAGAAACAAAGGAACCGAACAAGGGTCGACGCCAGCAAAGCAGGATGGGAAGAAGTGTCGAGGTAGAGGAAGCGGAGACAAGCAGCCAGCTGCGACGTCGAGCACTTCGGAAACCAAGAAGCCAAAGCAAGAGGAGAACCGTAAGCCTCAGCTGTTTCAAAAGTACGATTCCTACCACGAACTAACAGTAGGAGTCGAGGAGGTCTTCAATCAGGTCGGCCGTGGAAATTTGTTGCGCTGCCCAGAGCCAATGAGGACATATCCCAGCCGAAGGAACCAAAAGAAATTCTGCAGGTTCCACGGCGATGTCGGCCACCATACCAACAATTGCGCCAACCTCAAGGATGAAATCGAGAGAGTGATCCGCGAGGGGAGGCTACAGGAGTTCAAAGCTGAACGGAGACCTCGAAACGATGGCCACGGTGGGCAGAATGACGGTCGACGCCGAGAGGAGAACCAACGACCAAAGGACCGAGAACCCGTCGGCGTCATACGAACTGTCCTCGGTGGCCCTTATATAGGAGGAGACTCAAAGAGATCCCAAAAGGACTACGCCCACGAGGCCAGAGGGGTTTACCAGGAAAGATTATGGAGTGTCTCCGCTGCAAAAACCCCAAGGTAGAGCAGTACCGACGTGGCGTTTAATGAAGACGATGCCAGCGGAGTTCACTTCCCCCGTAACGACGCGTTAGTAGTGGAAGCCGTGATTGGGAACCACACTATATGTCGAATCCTGGTAGACAATGGGAGCTCGGTCGACCTCATGTACTCCGACTGCTTGGAAAATATGGGGATCCGAAATGAGCAGTTAGAGAAGACCTCTAGGCCATTATACGGTTTCACCGGGGACTCCGTCATCCCTCAGGGGACTATCCGGTTGCCCATAACCGCCGGAGAAAAATCCTGACAAACCATAACAATTGCCAACTTTGTGGTAATAAAGGGAGGCTCTCAGTACAATGCTGTAATCGGGAGACCGACCCTTCAGGCGCTGAGGGCGATAACCTCCGTCTACCACCAAAAGGTCAAGTTCCCTACCCGAAACAGCGTAGGTGAGATTAAGAGTAACCAGTACGAAGCTAGGGTCGCATACTCCAATGCCTTGCGCGGATACGACCAGCCAGGGCGACAGGAGGCCAGGATGGTCTATCAAAACGCCGCTAAAGACATAGACCCCAGGGTTCAAGAGGAGGTCACATGGTCCTAACCCATCGAACAATTGGTGGAGATCCAAGTTGATGAGGGCGAGCCGACCAAAGTGCTAAAAATGGGCTCAGACCTAGCTTCATCACTTAAGATTAAGATCGAAGACTTCCTAAAAAAGAACTTAGATATCTTCGCTTGGAACCATGCTGACATGGAAGGGATCGACGCTGAGGTTATGTGTCACTCCATGAACGTTGACCCCTCATATCCTCCCAAACGCCAGAAGCGTTGACCAATGAACCCAGAAAGGTATGAGGCGTTGAAAGAGGAGGTCGACAAGTTGATCAACAACGGGTTCATAAGGCAGGCCCATTACCCGCGTTGGGTCTCGAACCCTGTTCTGGTGGTCAAGCCTAACGGAAGCTGGAAAACATGTGTCGACTTCAGCGATCTCAATAAAGCGTGCCCGAAGGATGACTTTCCACTCCCTCGAATAGACCAGATGGTCGACGCCACAGCAGGACATGAAATGCTGAGTTTTATGGATGCTTACTCCGAGTACAACCAGATCCCCATGCATCCGGCCGACGAGGAGCACACATCCTTCATAACCGATAGGGGCCTCTACTGCTACAAGGTGATGCCTTTTGGCCTAAAGAATGCGGCGGCTACCTACCAAAGGCTCGTGAATAAGATGTTCACCCGACAGCTCGGTAAATCAATGGAGGTCTACGTCGACGATATGCTCGTAAAAAGCGCCAGGACCAACCAACACGTTGACCATCTGGGTGAAATGTTCGGTGTACTAAGAAAATACCACATGAAACTAAATCCCCAAAAGTGCGCCTTTGGAGTTGGGCCAGGAAAATTCCTTGGTTTCATGGTTAGCAACTGGGGGATAGAAGCTAACCCTGAAAAGATTAAAGGCTTGCAGGATATGCGGTCCCCGACTAAACCAAAAGAGGTGCAACGGTTGACTGGATGCGTCGCCGCCTTAAACAGATTTATATCGAAAGCAACAGACAAGTGCATCCCCTTCTTCGATGCTTTGAAAGGGAGTAAGCGTTTCGAGTGGACACCATAATGTGAAGAGGCCTTCCAAAAATTGAAGGAGTATTTGGGCAAGCCCCTAATCCTGTCAAAGCCCAACCCCGACGAGGAGCTTAGCCTATACCTCTCCGTGTCCCAACACGCCGTAAGCTTCGTACTAATAAGGGAAGAATAAATGGTACATTTGCCAATTTACTATGTGAGTAAAAGACTCCTCGACGCCGAGTCAAGATATACCGAAATGGAATGCTTGGCCCTTGCCCTGATGGTAGCTTCAAGGAAGCTTCGGCACTATTTCCAATCTCACACAATACGGGTTCTCACAAACCATCCGTTGAGACAAGCGCTGCAAAAGCCTGAAACTTCTGGTCGACTTCTCAAATGGTCAGTAGAGTTAAGCCAGTTCGACACTAAGTATGTACCAAGAACAGCGATCAAGGGCCAAGCGCTGGCCAATTTTCTGGCTGAATTCTCCCATAGACCGACCCCCGCCGCGCTAGAAGAAGTCGAGAATATAGAATGGAAGCTCTACTTGGATAGAGCGTCGAGCGATAACGAGTCAGGAACCGGCGTTTTGTTGATCAACCCAGAAGGCCACAAGATCACCTCGGCAGTTCGATTTAAATTCAAAGCGTCGAACAGCGAGGCAGAATATGAGGCGCTAATTGTAGGGTTGCGATTGGCCAGTCACCTAAAGATTGAGAGGCTCAGCATCTTCAGTGACTCTCAACTGGTCATCGGGCAAGTCAAAGAAGAATTCTAAGCGCGCGGTGAGAAAATGGGTGCGTACTTGAGGAAAGTAAAGGAAGAACTCGTTAAGTTCAAAAACTATGAGATACTTCAAATACCACGAGCCGAAAACGTAAACGCCGATGCTCTATCAAAGATTGCATCTTCGAAAGATTCTGACACATTAGGGGTCGTTCCCATCGAAGAACTGGAGTGGCCGACCATTAAGGAAGTAGCTGAGGCACTAATCGTCCAAATGGGTGAAAATTGGATGACGCCACTCATCTAATACCTAATGGATGCACAACTGCCAAACAATAAGGACGAAGTCAGACGGATCAGGTATAGAGCCGCCAGATACTTATTGTACGACGGTTTGCTTTACCGACGAGGCTATTTGACACCTCTACAGCGGTGCCTGGATGATGACGAAGCCCAGAAGGTCCTCCGAGAAATCCATGAAGGAGTCTGCGGTAATCATACTGGGGGACAGTCTTTAGCTCTTAAGGTCTTGAGGTAAGGATACTACTGGCCCACGCTAAAAAAGGACGCTTTCCAATACGCCCGACGTTGCGATAAGTGCCAAAGGTACGCCACAATTCCTAAGGCACCCCCAGAAAATTTAACCTCCATTCTCAGTCCATGGCCCTTCGCCAAATGGGGGGTTGACCTAATCGGGCCATTACACCTTGCACCTGGGGGATTTAAATTTGCCATCGTCGCAGTAGATTACTATACAAAGTGGGCAGAGGCAAAAGCTCTGACTACAACCACGGAAGCAGCCTGCACCAACTTCATGTGGAACAACATTGTGTGCAGGTTCAAGGTTCCCCACTCAATAGTATCTGACAATGGAAAACAATTCGACAATGCCTCAACACGCAGATTCTGCGACAACCTGGGCATTCAAAAAGACTTCTCGGCGCTGATCCATCCACAATCTAACGGACAAGTCGAGGCAATCAACAAAATATTGAAGTATACCCTAAAAAAGAGACTCGACGATCTAAAAGGGAAATGGGCCAAAGAACTCCCCAAGGTCTTATGGGCGTACCGAACGACGAGCTGAACTATCACGGGTGAAACACCCTTCTCTATGGCATATGGCGTCGAGGTAGTACTACCTGTGGAAATTGAAACGCCGACCCTAAGAACCGTCATCCACAACGACGACAATAACACAAAAGGCATGAACGGAGAACTCGACTTGTTGGAAGAAAAAAAGCTCGACTCTCAATTACGTCTCGCCGCCTATCAGCAAAGAGCAGCACGATATTACAACAAGAGAGTTCGACAAAGGAGGTTTGTCCCACGAGACCTAGTATTGAAAAGGGTAACGCAGAGTACAAAGCCCAAAAATACCGGTCCCCTGGGCCCGACTTGGGAAGGGCCCTACCGCATAAGGGAAGTGTCGCGTCCTGGCACCTACATTTTGGAAAGCCTCGACGGCAAGAGAATTCAACACCCATGGAACGCAGAATAGCTAAGGCTGTACTACCAGTAGTGTATGTAATTCTCACGCATCCCAATTGTACATTCTTTACAGTTTAAATAAATTGATATGTTTGCAGAAGGAAAGGAATTCGCCCCTTAATAACATGTCTGCTTAAAAAACCAAGATATATTAAAAAGACATGGGGGGCAGAGGTCCATGGATCGCTAAAAATAACACAACGACCCCAAGGGGTGAAATCAGCGTCGACTCCTCCAAGGAGGAGAGGCGAACACTTAGCAAAATTATAAGGAATTTTCTAAGACAAAAACCCCAAGAGGTGAAATCAGCGTCGACTCCTCCAAGGAGGAGAGGCGAATACTTAGCAAAATTCTAAGGAATTTTCTAAGACAAAAACCCCAAGGGGTGAAATCAGCGCCAACTCCTCCAAGGAGGAGAGGCGAACACTCAGAAAAATTCCAGGGAATTTTCTGAAGACAAACGACCCCAAGGGGTAAAATCAACAACAACTCCTTCAAGAGGGAGAGGCGAATACATAATAATAATGAGCAAGGTATGAAATCTACTGTCTTTTTATAAAACACAAATAAAATAAGAAAAGGTTCAAACCAATGTCATATAAGTTACAGACAACAATAAAAAAAAATCTTCAGGCCTCGCCGCCAACCGCCGAGTCATCACCAGGCGGGGAGGAGTTGGCGTCGCCAGCAGGAGGATAAGCATCATAAAGAAAGCTCTAATCCCACTCAAGATGCTCTTGTTTTGTCAGATCGACGATCTGTTGACCAGCGGATTAAAAATCCTTGGTGCGAATGTCGATAAGCTCCGAAAAAGCCTTGAACTCCTCAATAATCTCTGCACGCTTGGCATCAAATGTTGCTGCAGCCTCGGCTTCGGCTTCCTTCTTCCCCTCAGCTCTTCCCTCAGCAAAACATCTCTTCACCGCCTCAGTTGCTTCTGCCAACTTCGTCTCAGATATATCTGCCCGCTTTGTAAGGTCCTCAACCGAGGCGGTTAGCCTAGCCAGTTCACCTTCCAAACTCTTCAGTTGGGCCACGGCCACATCTCTTTCCTCGGCGGTGTTCGCACACTGAGTCTTAGCATCATCGAGAAGAGAGTTAAGCTTGGCCTTTATGCTGTCCATCTCTTTATCACGCTCCTCAACCTTAACTAGGTCGAGAAGGTTGAGAATGGCGAGGATTAGGCCCTAAAAAATTGGAGGTCAGAAAATAAAAATACAAAGCGGCGAAACCAGCAAAAATAAAAGGCAACTCAATCAAGTCTTACGTGAATTTGGAAAGAGATATGCTTCCGCTAACGATCAACCAAAGAAGATTGAGTGGCAGCAACCCAGTGCGGCTCGAAAAAGACTCATATAGAGCCTGGAAGACAATGGAGAAGCGAGGGGAAAGTTTCAGCATCGCCCCAATCTCGGCGTCAGAGACATCTGGGACTTGGAAATTGGGATCCATAATTTTTGCCCCCGGGATAAGCACGTGTTCCCTCGGTGCCGGAGGAATGTTTACATCAGGAATGGGGACCATCGGCGTCCAAGTTTCTACCACCGGCGTCTTCTCTTTGCGCCTCTTTTTTAGCGCAGGATCCACCTCCGACGCCGAGGGGACCTTTGTGGCTTTCCTTTTCCTCGGCGCCTGAGAAGAAAAGCTAGCTTTCTCCTTTCCCCTAGAAGGAAGTTGTTGGCTCGGCGGGGGCTGCTGGCTTGGCTCAGATGGCTGACTGCCAGGAAGCTGGATCCTCAAAGATGCCATTTCTACAGAAATGACGAGACAAAAATATAGTCGACGCTTGGATAAACAAAATGCCATTATAAGAAAGGCATCGGGAACAGGGGTTTACCTTCGTCACTTAAATGAAAGTATTCACGGACAGCGTCGAGGTCAGTAGGGTCTGGGAGATCGAGAATTAACCCAGCACTTTGAAGATTGGCCTGGGTCAGGAGGTGTCAATATGGCGAACCTCGGACGGGAACGAGAAGGCATTTTCAATCCTCACCAAATTGTTTCCAGAAAACTTCGGCCGGTCCTGACTGACTGTAAGATAAAAAGACTATCAGCGTAAGAAGGAAGAAGCGAAGTAAGGTAAAAGAAAGGGAATCAAAGTTTTACCCATATTCCCAAACAATGCCTGCACCTTCCTTCGGCGGGGCAAGCGGTCGTCGGGATGAAAATTAAAGGGTCTGCGTATTATAAAAAACATGGGTTTCCACCCATGTGACGACGAGGGAATGCCCAGTATTAACTTGTCAAATCTGGGCTGAGATCTCCCGTGCCCACTCAGGAAATACCACCCCTCGCACTTGGCGACATGACACAATCTGTACATAAATCTAAACTTATCCAGAGGAAGATCCATGTCAAACTGCTGGTTCCACAAAATCCAGGCACCAGCAAAGCAGTATCAGAAATTTGGTGCCAATTGGGCAGGGAAAATGCCATAAAAGTGGCAATAATCTTTTACAAAGGGATGAACCAGAAGGGTCATCCCCGCGGTAACGGCGTTGGTATAGACTAGGAGGTATCCGGTCGGAGGCATACTTGTCCTAAAATGCATGTTTAGGAGGAGGTATTCAAACCACCTCCCGTCAATGCATCCTTCCTTCACCGCCCGGATGATGTCCTTATTCCGGACTCTCGACGCCACAATGTCGGTTGTGAAGAAAGGCCTATCCGGGTCACCACTCGTGGCAGCCAGGGGGGCATCCACCAGCGAGGCAGCCACTCCGCTTACACTGCCCCCCGTAAACGGAATTCGGTCAACCACTTCATCTAACATTCGCTCTACACTACCAAACTGTCACGCCCCCCAAACGGGGTGGGTGACGTTGAACTCGATTTGAGATTAATAAAGCAGATTCCCAACCGGGTCCCACACTTAACTGCATAAAAATATAAATAAACGACATAATCCAGGAGCCTCTGACACACAGGGCTCCACCCCACAGGACATACAGTATCGTACATACATGCACATGTAAATAATCAATTACAATAGACATCATCCACAGTCTAGTAAATCCAATATTAAATAGGTTTACATAATTTCTCAAATTCCTTACATTTGTTCAAAAGGATAAACTCAATCCTCACTTGATCCACTTGATCCAACAGTAGCAACTCCAGCTACCCTGCACCGCTCCTCGAGTCTCCTGGGAGGGGGTTAACATTTAAAATATAAAACGTGAGCGAAAGGCCCAGTAGGATATAATTTGAAATATTTAAAATAAATGAGCGCATGAATGAATAATTGAATACATAAATAAAATAAGACATTCAGTCCCGACAGAACAGCCGGAACCTCACATCTTTTTTCTCAAAGGAAATATAAC